ACTACTGTACCAAAGTAATCTACGTTTGTTTAATGAGTCATAAGCAAGAATAGGCACTTGAACTGCCTAGTTCCTTTACATCCACAAAATTTGTTTTTGCTGCTTTTTCATCAAGGAATCACTTCTTGAAGTCAAAAAATTTTTGCGGAACTGAGCGTTTCCTTTCGTACCTGATGACTGCAAAGTATGCATATAAGTATTAAGCATAATTTTCAGTCATATTTGATGTCCCAATTTAATTCAAAATCCCCATGCAAAAACGATTTAAGTTAAAATCCCGAAAAAAGTGTCTTTATATTGTTATTTTCTTGCTGACCCCCAGTCTTGGACGTCATAAGTGAATGGCGATTACTAAGTTGGAGCTTTCATTCTCATTTTTTGATATTTTTAAAATTTAAATTACATTTTACAAAGCTCCATAAATACATTTAAGACAAACCATAACTTCAATCCAGTTTTCTCAATAAACACAGCTAAAAGGAAGAGACACAGAGATAAAATAAATAAAAATAATGTTTTTATTTATATGCGATTGTTGTCATATTGAAATCGAACGAAACTGTTAAGTGGTCAATGATGTTATTTTTTTTATATGTAGCAAAAAAATAATTGCATTTAATCGCGTGAGCTTTTTTCATCTCATTTTTATATAGTATTTATTAATATGATGAAGCCAGTACTTTATCTGTAATTTAATACCCAGGAACGAGAGTGAGAGATGAGTGTAGAGTGTGGAAAAAAAATTATTGGTCAATTAGCAGTTTCGAATTAAATTTTGTAATCCTTATAATGAGATTAAAATTAATGATAATTAAATTTAGTGAAAGAAGATAATGAAGCTTTATACAAATAGTAAATTAAAGTAAGGCAATAAATTTATTGGCAGCACTTGGAGGATTATTTTTGGGAAAGAAATTTAAAGCAGGAATTTTAATTAATTTTTTTTTTTTTTGGAGTGTCGACAAATCTTTCTGGTGGCACTAATTGAAATAATTTAATTGATTTTTATTTGGGACACTCACATTAGCTTTTAAAATTGTAGAATTCACTAAAGCATTTAAAAATAACCGATTCGGAATCAAATTTGCATACATTTGAGGCGAATCAAAAATTTACTCAAAGTAATAAAAAATTACAAGGAGCTCAAATATCATAAAAAACAGATAAATAAAGTCACCAAAGAGTTGCATAATCTATTATTTGTCAACAAGCTTTCATGAAAATCGAAGCCATGTGATTGTAAAAAACATTATGTTGCTGATGACTGTATAATTGATAATAATCTTTCGTGTCGTTGACATTTAAGTGGATACAAAATTTTTGTCATACAATCGTCACATTTTCACGAGTTACAAAGTTTTATAATAGATAAAGTTGATGAATTGGAGGCAATTAAAATATGATTCACGTGATTAAGGCAACTGAACTTGAGAAATTTTTGTGATGTTTTGTTGTTGGCTGGATTTAATGAAAAGTTGGAGACGCCTTGAGCGTGGACAGGATTACAACACATCAATAACTAAAACAAGTAGCTAGTTAAAACTAGAAGCTAGTTAAAACTAGAAGCTAGTTGAAACTAGTAGCTAGTTGAAACTAGTAGCTAGTTGAAACTAGTAGCTAGTTGAAACTAGTAGCTAGTTGAAACTAGTAGCTAGTTGAAACTAGAAGCTAGTTGAATTTAGTAGCTAGTTGAAACTAGTAGCTAGTTGAAACTAGTGGCAATAGCTAGTTGAAACAAGTAGCTAGTTAAACGTAGATGCTAGTTAAAAGGAGTCGCTAGTCAAAAATAAAAGCCATCTGAGAGTAGTGGTTAGATTAATATAGTAACCAGAGCAATTTGAAAGAACCTAGCACAGAACAGTAGAACAGAACTAATGCAATTCTCAACAATCTACTGAAAATAGAATTTAAAGCTAAACATCAAGATAAAAAATAAAAAATTCAAATCTTACTTTCAACAATAATCAATCAATTATAATTAATCACTTTATTGTATCATTTTCTTCTCATCAACATCAGTAATTGAATCAAATTTTGAAACTTTTTATTTTTTATTATTATTTTAATTTTGAGAGAATGCACTTTTTAATACTCACATTCAACAAATAACGATTAAAATTTCATTGTGTGTTTTGTCTGTTCATTTCACTTATGGTTATAGGAATATGCAGCATAATCTAATCATGCGATGGGAGCCTTATGCCTTCTAATCTACCTTTGATAATTATTATTATTATTATTGTAATTATTATTCAACACTATATGTACGGTAAAAAGTCTCTTAAATGTTCACTATATAATTGTTATTGTTGCTTGTTGTATCATCTCATGTCTCGCTTAATATTACGGATAGTGTGACTGTATTTTTAAGCTAATAATTTTTTTCACACTGCATGTGGCCATCACACTCTCTAATATGACTTTTATACACACTAAATGTACTGTCTTTTTCACAATTTTTATATCATTTTTTTTCTGTGCAGAATAAGGATGAGGAATGGAAACAATAGCCACATGATGAGAGGAAGTGGAAAACTAGAGTTTATTGGGTGTTTTTTAAGAAAGGATTGATGATGATTGGTGAGGAGAACCCTCCCTAAGTTGTTAGCTACAGCAAATCTTATTGACTGTCATCTAATACCTTGCTGTTAGTGGATCACACTTCTTTGGCTGGTAATATAGCGAACTAGCCATTATAATGCTCAAAGTAGTTCCGCTTAATATGCTGAACATAATATTGGGCTTTAAGGGATATATTAGGTATGATTCTAACATAAAGTCTATCACAAAGCTTAAAATTGGTTATCCTGGCTAAAATTATCACTCAATTCCTAATTCTCACAAAGTAGTTTAACCAAAAGTCATCACAGTAGCTTTATAAATCAATTGCCCAATTAAGATGAAAACGTACAACTCTCAAATCTCGTTAATTTTTCAAAATGCACAGTTATCCTCCAAATCCGCCAGTCTCCTCACCACAAACACAGGATATTAAAGGACAGAAGAAAAAAAATCTCACTTAATTAAATTAAAACTAAATTAATGTTATATCCCAATTCATTTAATAATATTTTGTTGGTTCTAGGTCACCGACACAACGGGAACCCGCGGGTCAAAACCCACGGGAACTCACGGGTCCTCACGAGTTGAAAACCCACGGCTCTTGCGGGTCCCCGTGGGTTCTTGTGGGTTTTGACCCGCGGGTTTTTAAAAAAAAAATTTCAAAAAACTTTGTGAGTTTTCCCGTGGGTTTGGTCTGCGGGTTCCCGTGGGTTTTCAAATATAAACTCACGGTTTTTCTGCGAGGACCCACGAGTTTTCTGTGAAAACTCACGGTTTCTCTTAAAGAAACCCACGGGTTTCTATCGTATATTTTTGAACAGTAAAAACTTTGAATAATAACAGGTTTTCAAATACCAGAGTGCAGTTTGCAGAACAAAAATTAGGCACTTTTATAAATCAGTATTTTTTTATCTTCAGCTTAAGGCATAATGATATCGTAAAACAGCAAAGGCATGAAATGTACCTTTTAGACTGTAAGTCTAATTTTTCTGTAACTTATGGCATCATTATATTCTGTAACTTTTGTTGCTCTCATTGAATCTTCTTGAAACTTTTACTTAAAGTTTTTATGGCGTTAAAATGGCACATTATTATCTTAATTAATATTTACAATTAAAGGATCTCCTTAATTTAGGAAACAATTGAATTTTATTTTTTGCCAATACGAAAAATTTGATTTTGAAAATCAACAACTTTTGAACCTCAGATAATTTCTATTTGCGTTCATTTCAGAACTTGTTAATGCCTGATACGCACAATTTAAGAGTTTCGACCGCTACAGTTTCCAAGAAAACTTGTGAAAATGGCTTATTTGTCTGTTAAATTAAGCAAGTTCATTTGATAATAAGCATAACAAAGTTAAACTATCAAATTTTATTAAAATGATTAAAAATTGTAACGGTTTTTTCAAATTTAAATTTTTCAAACGTGCATATTATAACACCCTACACGATAAGTCTGTAGAACATGAATTGTTTGCATCAGGTTAATTATTAGCTTGTTAAGAATCGTTGAAGCTACAAGCAAATGCAATAATATGAATAAGTCTAGAGTAATTTAAAAAATTTTTTTACTGTACCTAATGCTTAATATTTTTTTAAAACACAACGAATATGTTTTGATAAAGGCAAAATTTTAGAGCTGCTTGCTTATTGATTCGCATTTTGATGCTTATCAAATACTGATTACTGCGCCAAATATGTGCTGAAGTCCCTCGATAAATAACAATAGGACTTTTGTAATTTTTTTCAAGTTTTCTCTAAATCTTTAAGAGCTACAGCAAAGAATTTTGCATCAAAAAAAGCTGAACTAAAATACTATCAATTTTATTAAACGTTTAAATCTGATTTTAGCTTGTTATTCGAAATTTTTAAAATATGAAATTTTCTTGGAGTCTTTCAATCATTGGTACGGAAATTCAACAAGCAAACCTTCGAAAAATTTGAAACTTTCGCATAATGATGCCATAAGTTACAGAAAAATTAGACTTACAGTCTAAAAGGTACATTTCATGCCTTTGCTGTTTTACGATATCATTATGCCTTAAGCTGAAGATAAAAAAATACTGATTTATAAAAGTGCCTAATTTTTGTTCTGCAAACTGCACTCTGGTATTTGAAAACCTGTTATTATTCAAAGTTTTTACTGTTCAAAAATATACGATAGAAACCCGTGGGTTTCTTTAAGAGAAACCGTGAGTTTTCACAGAAAACTCGTGGGTCCTCGCAGAAAAACCGTGAGTTTATATTTGAAAACCCACGGGAACCCGCAGACCAAACCCACGGGAAAACTCACAAAGTTTTTTGAAATTTTTTTTTTAAAAACCCGCGGGTCAAAACCCACAAGAACCCACGGGGACCCGCAAGAGCCGTGGGTTTTCAACTCGTGAGGACCCGTGAGTTCCCGTGGGTTTTGACCCGCGGGTTCCCGTTGTGTCGGTGACCCACTACCATTTTGTTTTGTGTAATTAAGGCAGGATTTCTTTCTACTTAATAAAAATTTCAACATTACAAACAGATTTAGATGTGTAGATGCAGAGTAATAGTTCAGTATGAATACATATAGAGAACAATAGGATAGAAGGAGAAGAAAACCGAATAGAACAAACAATTACTATTATTGCACAATATTATTATTATTACTATTATTATCATTATTAGTATGAGAGTGCTGTTGCCGCTTCATTTCCAACTGTGAAATCTTTATATTGTGAAAATACAGAAATCTGAGGATTGAAAGAAGCAAAAAAAAAAGAGAAAAGAAATCATTAAGCTTAAATTAAGCATTTTTAACCTAGCATGAAACCTCACCTTGTCTTTTAATTGCTGACAAAGTGTCAGGGCGACAGTAAACAACACCAAGACTTCATTAAGCCACGGGACAGAACACTCTGCTTGTGTCGATTCGAATTTCATTGTTCCTTGATTGTTTGTCAATTGATAAGCGGCAAAAATCAATTTATGGCTCTGTATGTAGAAACTAATTGCAAGATCTTCCGGTAAATTTGGTGACAATGACTTCATATTGCGACTCTTCATTAGCTCATCGATTGGCTTCTTCTTTGGCACAACGAGACTCGTTTTACCACGCTGAAGGGCGCCGAGAATATTGGACAGAATGTGCAAAACTTCCTCTGATGATTTAAAATTATAATTCGCATCGACATTATCAATATGATTGATGGCTTGCTGTAAATGATTTGCAGCATCTTGCACTTGCTGAATTTTCCATGGAAAATCCTGAGTTATGCTCGTTCTTTGTATCACATTTTGTTGACGTTGTACTTTGAAATTTATGTCCTATATACACATATTGAAATAAATTGAGCGTCAATAAATAAATTGGATCGTTTATATTTGCTTAGTTCACGAGAGAATATACTTTTAAGAGCACTTTGCTGAGGTAGAAGAGCTGTTTAATGCGGTTTGTAGACTTATGAGTCTCTTGTTTGCTTTTGTCACTTTTTCTAGAGAAACCGATTTTCAACGTTTTTAAACTGTGTATTAAGTTCTGAGACACTAATTAAATTGGATAGGCTTCCAGAACTCTGAAACTTCCCAGAACTCTGATATTCATCATTTAAATTCAATTGATTGTTTCTGTTCAAAAAATAATTTCAAAACAAATTCAGATGCTATAAATCAAAATGCGCCTACAGCATTTCAAGTATCCATTGACGTGCCTTTGCAACTAGACTTAGGGACGACTAATGACATATTTTACACTAACACTTATGAAAAATTTCCAGTAAAAATTGAGTCTCGAACACTTGCGCGCGAAACATTTATATTTACTTGAAATTTTCATACAAATTTTGGTAGAGCTAATATAAGTGATTTCTGCAAGCGCTTGTGAAGTATATGGTCAAAAAAGTAAGGAAAATTATTTTTGAGTTTCGAGCATTTGATTGATTAGCATGAATGTCCAGTTAAAGTCTTGTTAACGTCTAGTTCTCTGTCTTATAAATTTCGGCAAGTTAAAAGACTGTTAAATGATTGTCCAATAATGGACTTTAACTGGCTGTGTCCACCCGGGAAAGCGCTCTCTTATCTTTTTATGTCTACTTACCGCGGAAGTGATTGAATCGCCTGTTAAAGTTACAACAACTTTTAATTGCTCTGGTGCTGACGTTAAAACAAACTTATCGACCTTCTTGCCATCATTTCCATGTAAAGGCACTGGGAAACGATGTGCACACTCTACGAGAATGTCGTGAAGCTGCTTTAGCACAAGTAATACTTCCTTCTGAAGAATCCATTCAAATTCAAGTTGCTAAAAACGACACACAAAACACATAATTGATTGGATAAAATCGGATTTATGTATTAATTTGATATCTGATTGACACATAATTCAATTTTTCAATTTGTTGCTATTCAAGTATCTATCAATCAGTTATCATTCGATTAAATCTGAATCGATATAGCCAAAACACAATGAATTTTCAATTTTCCCAAAATAAATCACAAAACACGCGTTTGAGCTTAACAATTACACTGTCAATTAAAAACTGAATACGTCTCGATTGTTGTTCAAACATTATCAATAAGAATAGATAACAAGAATCATTAAATTTATGATAAAAATACACTATCCTTACCAAACTTTTTAATTCCTCCATTTTTTATGATTTTTCTCAATGATGTCACAATTTATCACAATTATTCAATCACAACATGAAAATTCAAGTAATTGAGATTCAAAAGATTAACAAACAGCAATGAGAAAGTGTTAAGAAATAACTTTTTTTCACGATTTTGTTTTAAAAGTTCTTATGTGACATAATTTTCTTTATTGTTATGAAAAGTTGAAACCCCTCAAACAGTGCATTCGAATCTCAAACGACGGTTATTTGATTTGTAAATTTACTCTTGGTGGAAACATAATCTCGATAAATAAACACATTTGTGTGCACATCAACCATAATTTATGATTTTTGTAAAATGAGTGAATATGACGGAAGAGATGGAAGATGGGTAAGAGATGAGCAGGAAGTAGGAAAGTCACGCATGGCTGGAGATTATAGCGCATTTAGATTTTATTGTTTTTATCAAAATTATATTGAATCAGATTAAGCTATGATTTAGCAGTTTCTGAGGCGCCAAGCTTGAAGAAAAATTCCCTGCTTTCTGAAATCTGTTTTAAGGGGTTCTGCTTAAGAATTTATTTCCATTACTAGTTTAAATATTAAAGATTAGAGTTTAAGCTACTCAAGCTTCTTAGCTTTCTCTAAACGATCTTATCCCTGACCCTAATCCTCTTTAAAAAGACCTAAATCCTGTATCCCCTTTAAAGGGTCCTTTACTTATGACGTCCAAAATCACCGGTCATTTTTCCAAAAAAAAACAAACAATGGATTTCCAGGAATTTCTATTGTTCTTTTTTTGCTGGCCCCTCTCCTGGACGTCATAAGTGAACGGCCCCTTATAGATTCATTTTTTTGTTAAGGTTTTCAGTCAACTGCCTTTCATATATGTTGGACATCATAAGTGAATGACCCCTTATCATGATTGATAACATATCAACAATGAAATAAGTCCAAAATCCTATCTAAACTCCAAGTTTGACATATGACTGAAACTAATCATCAATTCAAGCCCTGCCTAATAAATCAACAAGACAAACTGCTTCCCAAACATTCACTTATTCAAACTTTTGATGACATAAAAAAAGGAAACACTTCAAGTATTGCACTTTTCAAGAAGGATTAGCAATAAATCATTAAGCAGACATCACGTTTATAATCTAACGTCATTGCATTTTCCCATTCACTCATTCCTCCCCTTTTCAACTAGCTTTGCTGTTTATCATTCTTGCAACTTGATCACGTGGTGTTGTGTATATATAAAATTAATGACTACACTATGAAACATGATACAAATAGAATGTGTAGCTATCATAATTGTAAAAGTATCATAGTCGACTCTGTTTGCACTTTTCTTACCAATTTTCTTAGTTCCTCAACATTTTCAACTTTTCGCTTTCGAAATCGCTTCACATTTTGACTAAAGTTAAAGGGTGTCGCTGATGGCTTTCGACTCTGTTTACGTCTTGTGAAGTTTCTAGAGCATAAAAACAAGTTTTTTTGTCGTTAGCACTTTTTTGGAAGCAGAGGCAAAAGCAAGAAGAAGTAAATGACAAATTTGCACTTTAATTTAAAACTCACGGGTTCATCATGATTATGGCTTCGATGCTACCGCAACACTGACTTGAAATTTTTACACTTTATTTTTTTTTTCGTCTCACAAGTGCTTAATGAAAACAACAACAAGCAGCAGTGAGCGTTTATCAGTTTTTGAACCACAATACATTCTTCATAAATGATAACAGACTCAAACATTGCTCATTATTGCTGTGTCTGCTTCGCTCTATGACACTCACACGATAAAAGCAAATAAATTAATGAATGTGAATATTAAAGGTGCAACATTGTGCTTCTTATTTTGTCTTGTCTTAAAATGACAAATTATTCATTTTGCGATGATGAATTTCGTTGAAAAAGTTTTGCAATGAAAAAATTAGCGATGAAGTTTTTTTACGATCCATTTGAAGTTTTAAATGCTGAATAGAAATTTACGATTTAATGTCAATGATTAAATGCTGAATAGAAATTTACGATTTAATGTCAATGATCTCTTGGGAGAGAAGGTGTGGCATGACAGTCTTCTGTTCAGGGGCGTAGCCAGGGGGGGGGGGGGGGCATAGTGAATTAAATATTTAAACTTATGAAGAATGAATATAGATTTAAGGATACAAAATAACGGTTTTTTAATTTTCGAAAATGGGCCCATAGTGTCTACCCCTTTTATTTTTTGGTAGAAGTTATAACTTAATGACTGACACAAGCTGTAAAATTAACCAGAGTTGCGAAACAAGTTGCTTGTGGCAGGCACAAGTGACAGATCTGTCACAGATTTTGCATGTCACAAATAGGTAGTTGCCTGTGACAGGCAGTGCCTTTTGACAGGTAAGTGACAGGCTGGTACCTGTGAAAGATCGCAACTCTGCATTTCACTTTTGAATCATTATTTTATCCATCTTTTCTAATATAATAAATATAACTGCAATTTTTAAGAATATATTAAGCATTGCACATGTCTCAATGAAAGAGAATAATAAAGATAAGATACTGTATTGTCTTGAACAATGGCTCGAATCCTTGTTATCATGGCACTATAGAACACTATAGAACAGTGGTGTAGAACCTTTTTTGTGTAACGGCACACTTAGTGGTAGGCCATGACCAAAACCGGACACAACATACGGTTCGTGCGATATCCCAAATTTATTCATGGCACACACACACACCAGTGTGCCGCGGTTCACGAGTTGACCTTCACTGCTACAGAATTATGGGTGGCTATGGGCTACTGTTAGGAATTGAACTCACGTCTTCACATATTAATTTTACAGGTTTATGGTCTGAAGCATTACAACTGGATATTCAAACAGGCAGATTGGGTATCATAAAGTTTGATCTCCATGATTCGAATATACGCATACACGTCAGACATCATATCTGAATCCATAAGCCATCACAAATATCAAACAATACGAAAATACATTTAAAAATTTCATAGTTTATTAAACAATCCTTGCTAATTAAATTAACCAGCACTATCAGCAATAAAACAGCACATTAACACACAGAAAAATTGCATCAAAATCTGAATCTGGTCTTTAAATATCATCAAATAAAAGCTGAAAAAATAAATTGTGATAATTTTTTGCTCTCATCTGAATCTCCCGTATGAATACACAATACAATGTTGATACTCATTAATGCCCACATATATTTGACACATATCCTTCTTATTATTCCGCATTAATGAAACGAAAATCTACTGATGCTTGTTAATCGCATTTTCATGATAAGACACAGTGCGCTATTAAGTAGATCATTGCTTTAATCTTGAAAATTAGATGAAATTTCATTCCTATGAATATGTAGAAAAGGTGGGAGAATGGGTATGATGGATGTAAGTTAAACAATTGACCTGTGGGCTTAACATTTTCTTCTAATCAATGTTGAATCTCATTACCGTCGTCCCTTTAATCTTCGGCGAGGAAATTCAATTAACTCGACATCCCATATCTTGCAGAAAAGTTGTGCAGTCGAGTGGGAAGAGTACTTGGAGGGAAGTATGAATTGTAAAGATAGGAAACTTGATTAGGGCTTTTAATTAAAAATTAGGTCTGACTCATATAATCCTATTTTTAGACTATTAAATGTCTACACGACTTCCTTCCTCCTCATGCAGACCTTCAGGTCCTCTCTTCCCTTGTGGGTTTTAAAACTGTGAGGAGTTGCTCAATCTTAGAGTTTTCTGGGTTAGAATATCTTGAGACACATCTGAGATACTTTTACATTTACAATTGAGACCAAAAAACCATCTAGGGGGTCGTTCACTTATGACGTCCATCAAAAAACCTGATTTTTAGACCCCCCTCCCCCTCTGTCACAAAAATTCTATAGAAAAAATTTTCATTGTATGAACTGTCACAAAATCCTAGACCCCCTTCCCCCCCTAAATGTCGGACGTCATAAGTGAACGGCCCCTAGAGGACCATGGAATAAAAAAGGTTTAGAAACACTGGCCTTCTATCTGAACATCAAAAACTATTAACGAATAAAACCTAAAGCTTCTCAATTTTACGTTAAACAGTTTCCGTAACTGTTGAACACTCCCCCATTGCATCTATTCATAACAAAGGAACAAGATAATGCACAAATGTAATTTACACTTACAGAGGACCGATTTGGCTACCTCACACCACCACAAAAAATTATTTCACTTTTGCATTTCCCATTCCATCATCTCGTCATCATCGCCATTCATCCACACATAAATTGTATACACGTCAATTTATATTCGATGTAAATAATCCATTTGAACGTCGCGTGGGAGCAAATGAGCGATAATTTATTCATGAAGTGGAAAATTTTCGTAATTGTAAGTGCAATTTAATTTTCCTCGTATGATTTAACATTTCATACATTTTGCTTGCTGTTGTTATGATAAATTGCTTACATCGTGTTCCTCACAATATTGTCTATGGGACATTAAAGACAATTTAATGTGCAATTTTCATTCGCACGAAATGGAATAAAGGAACCTTTTGATGTTGACAAGATGATTTTCTAGCTTTTTTTTTTTGTGTCGAGTAAAAATTCCTTTGAGAATTATGCAGGCAGTCATTATTATAATTTGCATTTGAATTACAATAGACTAAACTGAGTGTGGGGGTTGGGATGCTTTGTATAAAATTAATTTTGATGGCATTTTAAAATTTTTAAGTTTTACTGCACACTTGCTTACTTAATTCGCTCGTCGTACAGATCAATTGTGATCCATGACCTCCCTTAGTTGTCCCCTAAAACTAGCTCTGTCGCTGGCTACCGTCCGCTAATTGCGGATTTTAAATGCAGCACTGTCTCTATCAAAAGCTTCTTTCCAATAGTTCTTGGCCTTCCAAGTGACTGCATGGTTTGTTCAAAAAGAGAGCTGTAGACATTCTGGAGGGCACAAATGTAGGCTTTAGAAAAATTGTATTTTGAAAATTAATTTTTTTTTATCTATAGAAAAGTCACACATTGAACCTAGTCAGATTTTAGACCTATGAACGTTTGAGCAACATGAGCTTAGCCAGTAATCAATGTAAGACTGTCTCAAAAATGATAAAATTATTAGCCATCTTCTTTTATCCACCTCTTAATCCACCATTCATCCTCACTGCCAAGAAAAAAACTTTATAATGATACTCCTCGAACTAAAGTCATTCTCAAAGTCAATTTCTATTGCCTCAGCTATTAAATGTTATAGCATGAATAAATTTTGAAAGCAAAAGGTCATCGTTATAAGCTCATGTGAAAAACAACATATAAAATTTTGTGAAGATAGGCAGATGAGGAAGAAAAAAACTAAGGGAAGATGCAGAGGAAAAAGATCAAAAGTGATTGATAATTTGTTATTTCAACTTATAAATATTTTACAAAACATTTCACATGAAATGATGAAAAAATAAACTTTTTATTCGTACTATATTTCTTTTGCCTTGTTTCACCATATAACATACAAATCTAGAGTTTTGTAAAGTGACGACTTCTCCATGAATGCGTAGAGAGTGAAATGTAAAGTTTTTGAGGACAGTAAGCGCATTTTTGAAGAGTTGAACTTTTTTGGGCTTTAGCTGATTTATACTAATTTCGTAGAATAGATACTAAAGCTTCCCTTAGACTGCTCAAAATACTACATCATAGATAGAGCTAGTCATTTTTCCACCATTTTGAATTTTTCACCGAGATGACCAAATTATTGTCCATATTTAGTTTTATTTTGTAAATTTTAAACACATTAAGCTTTAATAAAACAAATTATACAGCTTAATGAACTCAAAAACACGGCAAAGATCAACTACAACCATTTAAAACCCTCAAATTGCAACAAATTCTTAGAAAACTTACTTAAACTCTCAACAAAAGAAAACCAGCCAGACATTCTGAAAACCAAATTTCAAAAATTCTTGGAACAAAACTTTTCATAAGTTTCTATCCAATCTTTCTACAATAACAATGAAATTGAATTTTCTTTATTTTTCCATGAGCCTCTTCTTCTTATTTATTTTCATCTGACTGAAAAATTGCACACATGAGATATTTCATGCAATAATTCACAAAACTTTTTCTTTCCCTCCTCATCTGCCCTTCTTTTCTTTTGTCTACATTTCTTTAGCACTTTTTCATCTTTTTGTAGGCGTTTGTCTTAACGTTGTTATTGCTGCATTTGAGGAAAATTGTGTCAAATAATCAAAGAAAGTCTAATTTTTTTGCCTGCCTGCTTTTCTACTTTAAATGAGATAATTTATCATATAAATGTTGAAGATATTGAAGCCACATCGTTACTTTAACGTAAGCATTTTTCATGCATGAGAATCATCGACAATATTTTACTTTTTTATGCCTCATTTAGGGACTTAAATTGTTTCTTGTATCAACAAAAATCGCACATTTAAACTTCAAATGGATTCCACTAAAGCACTTAAATTTAACAAAGGAAAATACCATTAATTTAATTAAGTGAGGAAAAGTACAAGAAGAAGTTAAGGCACAAAAGAGGAGAGAAAATATTTTCATAAAAACAAAGAAAACCTCAAAAAACGAAAATTTATGAGTTTGAGCTGATTTATTTGGGAAAGGAGAATGCAATTGTTAATGAGCGATAAATTTGCTGTTATTCCTTTTATGTTATGCGTTAATGGAGGTGAAGTTTCAATCGGGAAAGTTTGTGAGGTGATGGTTTTTTGAGGTTAGATTTTTGGTTAAAAATGTACATCCAGAACAATTGGAATATTATGTCCTAATCTGCAAGCATTAGTCTCTTTACATTAGTCTTTAGGTTTG